TTTCTCAAATAAGTTTGTCCTCATCTTTTTATTTTAAAACCATCATGTTGTCATTTTCTTTTTCTTAAAAAAAAAGAAAAATTTCAGACATTTTTAATGCCTTTTTTTTTTTTTTTTTTTTTTTTTTTTTTTTTTTTTTTTAATTTGGATCTTCCTCAAATTATTTTAGCTCAAAAATTTTAATCTCCAATTTCTGCTTGTTTTAGGTACTTTCATATTAAAAAAAAAATGACATTTCTTTTTCGTCCTCATGCAATTATTTATTAGCTACTAATAGGTTATCACAAATTGAGAAGTTTGACAATTGAATTATTTTTAGCACAAAGAAAAAAGTGCACCAAACTAAATTCTTAAATTACTCCTTAAATTTCTTACCAAAATTTGGTATTGAATTTGAATCATAGAATTGAAACATGGAAAAAAAATGCCATGTCATTTCAGAAAAAGTCCAATTTTGTGTCAAAGTATATATATATCAGATTGGTTTGGTTAGGTTTGTTTAATTATGGCAAAGCACTTGAGGGCTATCTGCTTAAGAAGAAGGATGCCTTTGTGGAGAACTTTCTAAGGAAACCTGGCTTGTGTACACATTATATATGGGAAAAACCATGAAAATCCACATGCAGACAGTATGTTCGCCAGGATTCAAACCCCAGACCAAACTACCAGTGTGCAGTGACTTTACCCCTTGACCTACATATATTAGAACAAATCTATATATTAATCTAGTATATATCCCAAGTCATGCATTAGAGACGTGAAAATGCATGTTGAATTTCAGCAACTGGATGAATAGAAGGGAAGATATATAGAACTGTCCTCCGCCCCTTGTTTTTGTGTTGATGTACATCCAACAATTCTTCCTGTATATTTGTTTTTGGCAATTTTATGTTTGATATTCAAATATCTAACCATTTTAAAAAAAATATCATGAATGAGAAAACCTTTTACCAATCAGTTCAACTCTGGTGCTGGTATTCCTGTACAAACTGCAGCCATTTTTTTCAATGAATCCTTATGACCATGGGTACAACTGTCGATCATTTATTTCAGAGCCCATTTTGTGAGAAATTTCGATGCATATTTGTTTAGGGCAGCAATCCTCAACCGGTGCTAAGTGAAGAAAAAGAACAATCGATAATATTTCTTGTGATCGAACTGTAACTGAAGACTTAAAAACTAACACACTTGTCAACTTTGACTGAACTGAAAAGAAAGAAAGGCATTTCAAATAAAGCTATCAAATTTTATTGCCATTTTGCACAATCTATTTGTGTGAACAAGGATTTTCTTTCATGTTTTATTTAAAAAATAAATACAGAACAAAATTAAAAGTGCATCCTGATTTACGGTTAAAGCTAAGTGAAATTAAGACCAGACATAAAGAAATTGAACTCTCTTAAACAGGCCTAAATTTCACTCTAAATTTTACTTTTAAAGTAGTATAACTTGGATTTTGATAATTAAAATGAAAACCAATTTTTGTAATCTAATATTTTGAATGCGTGCATATTTAATTCAAATAGCGAGTACGGTTTGCAAATGGCAAAACATATGTATAATTTTTTAATATTTCTATTGAAAAATTGAAAAATAATAATTATAAAATGTAGTAGTACTAAAGTTTTTCCATTTTGTTTAGAAGGTACGCATTAGTCAAAAGGTTGAGAACCACTGGTTTAGGGCATTTACCTAGAACCTCTATAGTTTCTTTGGAAGGTGAATCATGTTATGTTAGCATGTGACTTACACCAACTTACATAGCTGATACGTAGTAGACTTTAACCAAGAGGCCTGCAAATAGTTTGTGAAAAATTTCTTCTATTTACCAGCAGTCATTTCTTCCCTTTTATAACTTTTAGCAATAAGTTTAAAGAAGTTATCTTTACTGGTTTCAAATTCTTAACTCCCCCCCCCCCCCCCGTAATCATTTGTAATTCTTTTTTTCATTGAAAATTTAGGACACATTGAAAGCAGTGGCATAGCTAGGGTGGCGCAAGGGGGGACATCTGCCCCCGGGTGCAGCATCCAATGGACGCCAAATTGATGCTACGAAATTTTTTAATGAAATATTTCCCATTCTTAACACACAGAAAGCGGCGCAAATTCTTCAGTTGTCCCCAGGCGCTGGAAACTCTAGCTACGCTCCTGATTGAAAGTTGCCCTTGTAGTCTGATAAACATCTGAACTCTTTTGCTGCCTGCTGCACACAGACACATGCTGATGGTAGTATTATCTGATAGGCAGTCACCTATCCTGGCAGTAATTATGTTAAACATGTGACTTCCTTCTCTTTCTTTTACTTATATATGTAAATCAAATTATCTTCACTACATTTCAGACACCTGGAGGTATTAAAGCATATATTAGGTCCATGGTCAAATCTGGCATCTAAAACTTAGCCTTGACTATTGTAACTCAAGTTTCTTAAAACTCTTCAGCTGAATGAGAAACATATATCTTAAAGAATTTGTGTTCCCCCCCATTAGAAATTTCTGGAAAGAAAATGATTAGTAATTTTCCATATTTATCATAAGTCGTTGCAGAAGAGCTTGAATGAGAGTATGCTTTTCTACATGAAACATTTTTTGCCGTATGTAGCTAATGAAAGGGCTACTCACCTGTAAATAGGTACTTGTAAGTTTGAGAAAGTTGATAGCCTTATATATCTGGGCTCTGAGATTAACATTAATAACAACATTATACCTGAAGTTCAGAAGAGAATTAAAGCTGACAATAGATGCTTTCATGGATTAAAGAAATATTTAAAATAAAATTTAATTAGAAGGAAAACAAATTTATTAATTTATAAATGTCTAATCAGACCTCTACTCGCATACTCTTCAGAAACCTGTACAATGACACAAAAAGATTAAAATGCCCTTGGTATCTTTGAGCGGCAAATACTAAAAGCTATTTTTGGAGGAATACAAGTTGATGATGTTTGGCAGACGCTCAAATTTAGAACTTTACTGTACCTACAAAGAACTTGACATTGTGAAATGCATAAAAATTCAAAGGATTAAATGGGCTGGCCGCATTACTAGAATGAACAGGGAGTGCACAATGTAGAAGCCCACTGGAACAAGAACTAGGGTCCGACCCAACCTCAGATGGGTTGATTGCCTGGAAGGAGACCTCGTCATTTTCTGAGTGATTAACTGGAAAACCGTGGCCAAGAAAAGAGAGGCCTGGAAGAAAATTCTTCAGAAGGCCATGGCCCACCCTGGGCTGTTATGCCACTGAAGAAGGAAGGAAGCTAATAAAAGGACATCTAAAACTCCTGAGGAGTATAAATATTATGTAATGTACTGGTAGCGAGTCTTTCCATCAACTGATATCTAGGTGTGAGGAATAGGTAGTTGTCTGCTTTCCACCTAATGCTGAATTTCTGCAGTAGCTTCCTCATAACTTCCATTCAGCTAATTTTCTTTTCATGATCCTAATATATTATCCTGCAAAAATTTCAGTGTTTTCACGCACTTCTAGGTATGTAGCTATTTTGGTAGATGGAATTTATCTTTTACTTTTTGCATTACTGACATCTCCAAGGGGTTCTTATACTCCTTAACAGTCAAATCTTAATGTGATGTTTTTAGAATGTGTCACAGAAACCAATCTGTAATTACAATCTTCCTAGTTAACCGTCATAAAAGAATTTGTTGCATAATTGCAAATTTTTCTCCATCATTTTTGTTACCTGCATCTAATTCCTAGCAGTGCCTGAATTCCCAATCCTGTTAAATACTGTGATTAGTATCATCAATGCAGGATTGATATTAATATTCCTTTATATGTTAAATGTAACCTTTCAGCGTTAAACAAAGAATCATTGTATTGACAACTTGCTGACATCCCTCGTTATGTACATGTAAAAGCTGTATGCTACATGCTTTTTTTCACTGGCTGTAGGACAAGGATGTCAAGACTGAAAATGTACTTAATAATGTAATAATGTGACTTGACTTTCTGTTAATTCATGTTTTGAAATATATGTAGATATTAGTTTTCTTTCTATTCTTATGGATTTCATCTGATCACTGTTTAATTTTAATGATTCTGTTGATGTTTGGGTTAATAACCTCTGACATCATACAGAAAAGGAGGTAACAAGTAGTTATAGCAAATGTAAATTCAATGTAATCTTACATTGGCATGGATTATTTTAATGAAATAGTCACTATAACTAATGTTGGCTATATAAATGTACTGTATAAATGGGTGATAATTTTCAATTTTAGACAGCATCATGACAAAATTCTGGTATTTTGCATGTTTCAATGGAAAATAAGCCAAGAATTGCATCTGAGGAGATTGTGGAGAGGCGTACTGAAAACTCATCTACATTTCACCAATTATAGAAACTTGATTCAGTTCTAAGTTCAATACGCCTCATTGTGGGGCAGAATAAAATAGGCTGATTATATCTGCAATCATTTTTTGTCAGATGCTAAAACAAGAGCTATTTTTAAGTTAGATTTTTAAAGGTTTTGAAAAGTGTATCCTGTGCGAGAAAATAGAATGAAAGTAGAGCTGTAAACAAGCAGATGAAATTGTAGAATACAGACAAGATCCGGCTTTCATTTAATAAAAGGTTTTCTGTATCTGTTTAATAGGATTGCAGTAGATATTTTCATGGACCTTCTCCCATCATTGAAACAGCAAGCATTGTTAGCAACTAGCCAAACTCAGTATGGAAATTTATGTCATTAAAAAAGTGACCAGTTTTAGTCATTCAAATCATCATCCATCATGTCAGTGCCAGGCTGTGTTGTCCAAGCAATATTGTTAAAATTGAAGGTGTTAAAAATGGAATATTTTTCAACTGAAAAGTTGCAGTTTTTGCAAGAAAGGAAATATGGATCTTGTAAAACGTTGGTAGGCAGTTATAGAGAATTATTGTAACTGTTTTATGTATGATGCAGTGCATGAAATTTTGCAATCAATCAGTAGACCTTTTCTCAATATAATCAAAATCCATTTTTTTATTTGTTATTTAGGGTGGTACAGTCATTGGAAGTGCTAGATGTAAAGAATTTATTCATCGCTCTGGCCGTCTGAAAGCAGCTGCAAACTTAGTAAAGCACAACATTACAGATTTAGTTGTCATTGGAGGAGATGGTAGTTTGACAGGTTCAAATATCTTTCGCCAAGAATGGTCGTCTTTATTAGATGAATTAGTTAAAACAGGTAAAGTGACTTATTTTATTTGTGTATCTTCAGTTTAAAAAAAAATTTATATGCATGCATATATGTAAGAAAAATTTTACCTCAATTTATGTAACTCCTAAAGTCTTTTTTTAAAATTTGATTCAGATTAGATAAATTGATTAAATTCAAATGACTTCAGAGAATCTCATGAGCCTCTACTTAGGAATAAAGTCCTTACTTTTCACTAAAATAAGATTCCAATACCTAAATTAAACCAGAAAAATTATATGTTATGTTCAAATGTCTCAAATTTTATGATGTAAAATTTGCAAGATTAATAAGTATCCAAACAATGCAGAGTAGAGAGATTGGATGTGCTAGATGTCAAATAATTGAGTAATACAATGAAGAAATAACAGTCTATGTAAAAAACAAGAGGAAATAGTTGTATCACAAAGAGGAGTGTAGTGGACTTTTGATTCAAACATTTATAGATTAGCAAAATATTCAGATTATTGAAAGTATCCTGGAAATCATGTCTTCTTAATTGAGATTTCTCAGACTTGCAAGTTGTGTTCAAATTAACAGAAAAAATTCAAGCAACTAAGAATTATTTGGTGTCTAAAAATTCTTCAAAATAAGAAACAAACAAAAAAAGTGCACTATACGGAAAAATCTTCCAAAATTTAAAATCAGAGAGATGCTTCTCTTAAAAATATATGTAGGAGGGCAGCCATTCACTTTCTAGGTTCACGACTAAGGATATCCCACTGTTGCTGTATTTCTGCTTTGCCTAATGGCACCATCTTTGTCTACTGTAAAAAATAAATGGTTGTTCTTCGTTTCTTCTAAAATCATTGATATAGTTTGTTAACAAGTGCCACTGTTAGCAAAGGTGTATGTTCAGTGCTTCTTTAGTGAAATATATATGACAGAATCTGCATTCCTGGAGGCTGTGACATGACACCTCAAATATTCAAGTTGAAAGCATGCTCCCAGATTAAGCACTAAGCTATTGATATCATTTGCAGGAGACCTCAGGTCATACAAAAATAAGTTTTCCACTTGCCACCTGAAGACACACCAAACCGTTGAACCATCTAGAAGTGCTATAAGACAAGCTGGAACACTACAGAAATTATAGCTTCCTTTCTAATAGCTCCAGAGCTATTGTCCAAACATTTTAACAGCCTACAATATGTCTGTGACCACAGCATTCTTAATTTCAGGGGGATCATTGATCAACTAAGGATTCCCCAACCTCTCTAATCTTGTCTTTGGTCGTAATTAATCAGGTCTTAAGATAACAATGGGAAACTAAAGGGTGTGACTGTTTCAAGATAATAAATATATGCTAGTTAGAAAAGTACACAAAATGTGGTGAAAAATGTTGTTTAGAGGGAACTAAAAAAATACAGCAAAAAGCAGTATGTTCTTGGTATTTAAGCGGAGGACTTTGCTTTGAAATCTCATGGGTCTTGTGCATAAATTGATCTAATTGTTCTAATATAATAATAATGTTGATTGTTTAATTATATTGTTATTCTTTCTAAATATTGTTAAATGTATACTCAACTGAAGGAGCAGCTAGTCTGCATGGGAATAGGGCTTATTGGCCTGTTTAAGCCCATCTAGAGATTCTTATGTCATTCACATGTTTGGAGACATGTGACCCAAGAGTTGTCTTTGTTAGAAAGGGCAGTGAAAATACATTGGTAGGGCTAAAGTCAGCCATGCAGCTAAAAGCATTCTGTTTTAATTGTTCAGCTGCTAAGCTGAATAAAGTAAGAAGAGGAGAACGCATGTGCTTTTCCTTTGGCTTGAAATGGAGCTATCTTTTTCAAGGTTCTCAAAATGTCACTATTGTTAAAGTAGATTTATATAAAATACTGATACATTACTATTACAAGCATACTGATCTACATTATTAAAAAATAATGCACATGACAGTTAACAGTTACATAATAATACTTAACAGTTATGTAATAGTACAGACATAATAATACTGTACTATATGGGTTACAATAAGTTAAATAAACATTGTTCAAAAATTCTATACTTCTGCAATACCAAAACACTGAGGGCACCAGTAAAAGTACATAGGTATAACAATACAAAACTATTGTAATGTAAGTGCAATGCTGTGCTTCAGTATTATACACCAAAACCATACAAATCTATCAGACATCTATTAATACAGTTATGCAGAATTTACACTGGAGATGCAAGTTCCGACAGAACTTGTAAAGATATCAAATGTACCAGCTGACTCGTGCCTAGATATTTTTTCACAAGGCAGAAAAGTAAAGACATGTCCCTGTATGGAGTAAAATTAACTATATTTGTAGACTATCATATTTATCAAAGGTATTTTGTATCATAATAATCTAAATTGTATGTTTTTAATTGTAGCCTTATATACTCAGAAGTAATGATTTAGTGTCTTTAATTAAAATCAATTAAAAAAATCCTTTCTGTTTATTAGCAAATAACACTGAAATGGTATAAATAATACAATTAATGTTTAAAATGCTGCACTAATTTTGACTTTTTAAAATAAATTTTTTCTTCTTTTCCTTTTTTTTTTTTTTTTTTTTTTTTTAAAGAAGCAAAATCATCAATATTTTTTCCCAAAATTATTTTATTACTTAATTTAGGTTTTACAGAGAGAAAGTTCTTAACCAAGTGTAGATCCTGCATAATTTTATATTTTAAAGTTTTTTGAAGCTGGTGCCACTGCTAGCAAGGATAAATTGGCAATGCTAGTGTAAATTTTAATGTAGACTATTCTAAACTGTATTTGTGAATTATTTCTGAAAGATTTAAAGTTGAAACAGCTTAGTATCCAGAAACAATTGGTTATTATTACCACTAGACAGGGCTGAGGAAATTTTTGAAGCATTTGTATCATCTGTATATTTAAGTGCTAAGTTATAAGCTGCTGCTTTTAAATTACCTTAGTTGTTTCTATTAGTTTCTTTCCAGTTAGAAAATGAAAATCGAAAGACATCTCGTTAAATTTTTCATATCTTCATTTTGTTTGTGAGATTAAAACTTTTCTTAGCCTGCAGTGAAATATTATTTTCTGAAAATGAATTATCTTATTTGACCATCTGATTTGTTAACTTTTTGTTTCTCCTTAAGTTCTGTGGACAGATTCATTTCTGAAGCAAAATTCTCACATTTTTCAATATTTACTCTCATCTGCTGTACATAAATGATTATTCCTCTAATATCATTGCTTCTTTGTTCAATTAAATATGACAAACCTATGAGGGCTGTCTGGCTAAGAGAAAGGTTGCTGTTATGGGAATCTCTCTAAGGGTATAACTGGTCCATATTTACACTACATATGGGAAAAACTATGAAAGCCTGTTCATTGGTATTGAAACTCAGGATCCAAAACTGCAGTTTTGTGTGAAAGTACAATTACAGTTTTTCATAGCATTTTCTTTGTTTCCTTGCAGTATTAAATTTGATGCAGAAAACTTATATTTATTTTTTTACTTTATTCGCATCAAAATGCTATTATTTATAGCTCATTGCAATGATTTAAGCATTTGTATAAATGGTTAGCAACACTAGCTAATGAAAATTATATAATACATGAGTCATTTATTTTTCAGTCTCACTTTCAATCTTAAATAAGTTAAAAAAAAAAAAAAAAAAAAAAAAAAAAAAAGCAATTTGGTTAGGTTAACTAAAATAAAGCAGACAAAAGCTGCCTCGGGGAAAGAATGGTTGCATATACACCGGTGAAATAAATTAAAAGAATTTGCATATTTTATCGAATTGCATGAAAAGAACCGAACTGAAGGAAAAACCACTGCTTCTAGATAAAAATGCAAATCTTGTCTGGCAAATAAGTAAGCGTACACGGGCATGTAGGCGGAGCCAGCAGAAAAACAGGCTTTATAAGTGCATGGAGGGTAAGACGAATTGCGTTAGCTAGCACACCTCGGCGAATTTCTTGGTGTTATCTTGCAGCAATCAGTTAAATTCACATTGAAACAGTAACATGAATAACCACCAACATTTAGATGATGGAATGAGGTGGTAAATTGTGGGGAGGCTAGAGACAGGCCAATCACAAGTCCAGATATGCAGAGAGTTTAATTTTAATGCCCAGTGTCATGTGTAACGTATGGAAAAAGTTCCAGGATACTGGATCCATTGAGAGAAAGCCTGGGCAAGGTCGTTCAAGAGTCACGATGGCCAGAGAAGATCGCTATTTGTCCATTTTAGTGAAGCGTAACAGAGGGCATACAGCTTCTCAGCTCTCTTGGAATGTAGCCACAGGAACCCGTGTAACAATGGTGACTGTTTCCAAAAGACTGAGTGAGAGAGGGTTGTTTGCATCCCACTCACGTCTAGGCACAGGTGAGTCCAATTAGCATGGTACAGGCAGCATAGTGATTGGAGTATGGAGCAATGGTCGACCGTTCTGTTCACCGACAAGTCCTGTTTTAGCCTAAACACCGATTCTCGCCGTACTTTCATATGGAAAGAGCCAGGGACCCGCTACCTACCCTCCAATGTCCGTGAAATCAACAATTATGGCGGTGGCGGTGTAATGGTCTGGGCAGGCATCATGTTGGATGGCCATGCACCTTTTCACGTCTTTGACAGAGGCTCTGTGTTTGGTGTGAGGTATAGGGATGAGGTCTTGGAGCCCTATGTTCGCCTTTTCCGGGGTGCAAGGGGCCCCCAAGTTCATCTTAAAAATAATAACGCGAGGCCAAATAGAGCTCTTCTGGTCGATGAATTTCTCGAGAGTGAGGATATTCGCCGAATGGATTGGCCAGCCAGGTCTCCAGACCTCAACCCTATAGAGCATGTCTGGGATGCTCTGGGTAGAGCAATTGCAACTCGCAACCCCCCTCTGAAAATCATCCAGGAACTGAAAACTGTGTTTCTGAATGAGTGGGACCATTTGCCACAGGCTCTGATAAACTGCCTTATTTCCAGTATAACATCATGCTGTATGGCTGTAAGAGGGGACCATACCCCTATTAACCCATTTCTTTTGTGTCTTCTGC